AGAGTAGTTAGACTCCAATATTACTATAGACACATGAGATTCTTTTTCTCTCATCAGTCTTACAGAGACTTGCAACTGAAAAATATCCTTGCTTGCAACTGAAAAATATCCTATCCTGGTTACCTTGTCTCTACTCTTGGTGACTATCTAGATAGAGAATTCCTAAAGTTTTCCCGTAGAAGAATAAGTCTTGTACAACAAAAATTAAGATCTATATTTAATGGGAAAGGGAAGGGATAGTAGTGTGTTATTTTCAAATGCAGAGGAAAAAGATAGCTTTTTGAGGTAGGTTTGGAAGCTATAAGTAAATATTTTAATTATTTTCAAGGCTCCAAAGATGTTTTTATGTCTTTTCCATACTCTTACATGCTTGGAAAATTTCCACACCCCATTTTTCAATTCCATTAAATAATATTTCTGCTTTACAAAAATTTACAAAAACAGTTTAGTGAAGAAAACAGCTGTTACTGAAGAAATTAACTAACCATAATCTTCGTACTAAACTGTGAAGATATCCTCTATCAGATTAGAATTATAAGCGAAGTTAAACTTAATGATTTGTAACAGAACAGCTATGAAAAGTGGTGGTTACCAGCAGGGATGGAGACGGCAACATCACCAAATATAAGGTATTCTGGAAAAACCCAGTTTTAAGGGAAGCAGCCTTATACCAGGGGAGACCCTACAAAAAACAGAATCATCTTTTGGAGGGCAGGCCCCTTGTAGTAAAGAATTTCTCCACTAGGTGTTTTAGAAACCCATCAGCATCAGCGTATCAGCTAGCATTGTTGTGAGAGGCTGTGTTTGGCTTCTGTGAATTTTTTGTGGAGATCTTCCAACCCATTTGCCCACTCTGTGATGGGTGACTTATGAGTGCTCCTGCTCATACCATGCTGAGTGCTCAGCAGTTTTTGCCCAAAAATGGCGTGACCCCCGTGCCCACCCCTCCTATTCAACAGTTCTTGGCCCAGCGGCTTTTTTTTTTTTTGTTTCCATGATGAAAAAAGTCCTGAAAGGGAAATGTTCTGTTGAAGTGGAAGAGGCAAAGCAAAAAACAGCAGAAAAACTATAAGGCATCAAAACTGACAAGTTAAAAAACTGTTTTGAGCAGTGGAAAAATTGTCTCAATAGGCGTAGGTGACATCAAATGGAGAGTACTTTGAAGGTGCCTGAAGTTTAAACATGTAAGAATAGATACACAATTTTTAATAAATAAATTCCAGGTTTTTTTGAATCTCCCCTCATATACTGAAATGGGAGTAGACAGTAAAATGACTGAAGTTTACAAGAATGGTCCTGTGCTGTTCAAACAAAAAACAAAACAAAAAACAAAAAAACTATATACTTTTCAGAAAATTCTGTTTAAAGAGAGAGACATATAAAACGTTTTCAAACGTGGGTCATCAAAAACTAACTTAAAACTTGGAAAATGGAAGGAATAAAACTTAGATAAGCACATTATTTGGCTACAACGTATCATTTTCTGATGAAGCTAGACTACTGTGGCAACGCCATATGTATATTTGTATATATTATCCCACCATCAACTTGGAGGGGGCCAAGTCTAAAAACAGGACGAGTCACACAAACTAGAATTATGGTCTCTTCCCTCATTGTAAGAACATGTAGATATTTCTTATCTTAAAAAAAATAACTAATAATTATTTCATAACAGAAAATTACCTTACCTTCTAGAGCCTTTAGATTCAGATAAAGTGTGAAACAACACTGACTCTAGCTTCCTGGCATCTGTACTTTGCTTATTTTTGTCACTTCTTATATCCCAATGAGTTTCATGTGTATCTTCTTTGTGTAACAATTTTTGGAGAGGTTTCTGTTCCTTAACAGGAGAATGACAACTACTATCCTTCTCTCGTGTCCATCTGACTTTCCCAATGAAGAAGTCATCACCATCACCTTCCTTGGACATGAAAGACTGTTTGTAAAACCTTTCTTCTGTGCTATCATCAAAATACTCCTCTTCATGTAATTCTTCTTCGCCATCACTGCTACCAGACCTTTTCTTTCTTTTGGATTGACTTACTGTTTTCAGTTTTGGGTCAGCAGAAGTCTTCTTGGGTTCAGAGGAAACCACAGGATCATTATTTGAAGGCTGAGATGGAGAATTTGGAATGTCCACTGCTTTGGGTCCATGTTCCATCTTGGCCAATCTTTTCTTTGAATTATTTATTGGTTTCTTTGCAGATATTTTGGATTACTTCATTTTTTGCTCACTACTAATAGTTCCTTCATGACGTAACTTACTTTCATTATCACCTGAACACAATGTGTCCGTAGAATGATTTTCTTCTAAGGCATTTTTTGGTGACTCAACTTCAGCAACATTTTGTCTTGCATCTTTAAAGGCTTGCATAACAGCTGCAGGAAAGATAGTGCATGATTTGTTTTAACATTGAAGCATGAAACACTATTGTTTCAGTAGAGTATTTTCAAAATTATTTGGAAACATTTAAGAAGAGAATTGGAATTTATATTAGAGCAATAATCTGTGACAAAAGCATTTAACCTTATAAATATATTTCACAATACATACATATATAAATAAAAAATATTTGGCTAAACCAAAAGTAATGAATCATGTCAATCTTTAGAAAACCAATTGCATTCAAGTTTATCATGTATATGTTATATGCAAAAAATATATTTATATAATACATATTATATATTAATACATTAGAATTTAGAAAAAACGAATTCAGTTCTTCTTCAAATATCAAACACTTTCTAGAAATTTACATTCATAATATAAAAAATCCTCAAGAGTGAAAAGGACCATAAAAATTTTTAAAAAATGAATAGCCATTATCCAAAAATCAATGCTTTAAGTATATGGCTTTTAGCACGTATATCTTTTTCTTTAGAATAGCGTTATTGCTAGCCTGGCAATTGCTCTTTCAGTTGCAGTAGAAGCTGGCTGCAAATTAAAGGAAATATATGTATGTGAATAAAATAAAGAAAAATAACTTGGCACTATTGGAAATGAAGAAAGTAAATCTACCATAGCCTTTTAAAATTAGAGTTAGAGGCCGGGCTTGGTGGGTGGCTCAGCCTGTAATCCCAGCACTTTGGGAGGCCAAGGCAAGTAGATTGCCTGAGCCCGGGGGTTTGAGACCCGCCTGGGCAACATAAATAACTAGTCCTGACAAATGTCATACACTCTTCAAGCAATTGTTTAAGAACACATCTGCTGTTCCCAAATCTCTGCTTTGAGAATCTGATAAAATTTTGCTAAACTGGGCATAATTCTATTATCTTTCCATCTTAGTTATAAAAATTTTTGGAAAAGCAGTGGTAATACTAACATTTCTAATGCTGACTCCGGGTAAATACTATTTTGCTAAAAATCATTTTACCACTGAATTTATTTTGTAAAGATATACATATTTTTTTCTTTAGATATCTTATAGTAACTCATTTAGTAATCTGATATCAGTAAATTCTTTTTAAAAATACTCTAGAATAAGATATACAATTCTGTAATCATGTGTTAAACAAATGAATATATTTTTCTAATTTGTTGTCTTTCTATTATGTCTTCTATACTTGTTTTTTTATGTTGCAATCTTTGTGGAGGACTTATTTGAGGGGAGAATACAGGTTAATAAGTGAGATGGTTTCAAAAAGGGCTATTGTGTTGCATAATCTCAGAGGTGTCACTCATGCTGTAGTTGTCAAATTGGAGATGTGCAGCCATAGAAAGCAGTGGCAAGCTAAAAGAAGATATAAGCTTGGGTTTATAATTGATGAAGGTATAAAAAGTAAGAAGTTATGCAGGATCATATATGCCACGGCTGTAGATTCTATAATTATATCAAATCATTTTTTAAAGAAAAATAAGAGTTAATGATATCAGCAAATATAACATATTGTAAACATATAAATATTGCTATGGAGCCCTTAAGTGTATTTTATGCTTTATTTTATTTTTAATTGACCAATAATAATAATTGTATAAATTTATGGGATACAAAGTGATATTTTGGCATATGTATACACTGTAGAATGACCAAATCAGGATAATATACATATCGCCTCAAGTATTTATTGTTTATTTGTGGTGAGAGCATTTAAAATCCTCTCTTTTAGCTATTTTAAAATCAATACATTAGTACCATAGTCACCATGCTATGCTATAGAACACCAGAACTTATTTCTCCTAATTGTGACTTTTCATCTGTTGACTAAGTCTACCTTTTCCAGTGTGTGCTACCCACACCCCAGCATGCACTAACCACCACTCTATAGTTCTGAATTTCATTTTTAGATTCCACATACAAGTGAGAGAGAGCAAATTACACTTCCACTAGCAATAAATAAAAGTGTGCTTTTCTATGCAGTTTTCCCATGCAGTATGTTATCAAACTTTTAGAGCCTTATAATCCTGAGTTAAAATGTGTCAACATAATACTATTTTTGTATTCACTCTATTGTGAGTAAAACTGATTTTTATTATGTTGCTAACGAAATTTTTATTATGTCCTTTTCTGTAAATATCTGTTTGTATATGTTGCCTATTTTTTTTTCTGCTAGTTTGTTGACAGTAACTAATTTTTATATATTTAGAAAATTGCTCTTGTGCTTCCATATGTATTTATAATATTAGTATTTTCTTTTGATCCTTTCTGGAAAGTTTTTGTTGATG